GCCATTGAGTGGGTTCCAACTCATAGCTGTCCTGTCTAGGGTTTCTGACCTTGCAGTCCAGTACTTATCCTATTGTTGTTAAGTGCTGTTGAGTCAGTTCTGACCCATAATGATCCTGTATAGGGTTTCTGAGGAGCAGATGGTGAACTTGAATCAGCAGCCTTGCGATTCAAATGACTTTGCAGTCCAACGCATTGACCCACAGCGCATGTCATTTGGTGAAAGTACAACTGGGAGATAGGTCTAAAGAAGTAGATAAAGATGAGATTGTGAAGAGCCTTATATGTTTTGCAATTTTTTTATATGGCTTTTATTTGGCTTCATGATGATAATATCTTATTGCAGCACAGCTTGCAGACAAAATGAACATCTCTGCATCAGAGTCCTACATGGAGTCAGTGAGTGAATTTATCCTTCTGGGTTTTCCCTGCAGCCAGAAGATTCAGATTGTCTTATTCACAGTTTTCTCCATCATCTACCTCCTGACTCTCATGGGAAATGGAGCTATTATCTGTGCTGTGTGTTGGGATCAGCATCTCCATACCCCTATGTATATTCTGTTGGGTAATTTTGCATTCCTGGAGATCTGGTATGTCAACTCCACAGTCCCAAACACACTAGTTAACTTCCTCTCTGAGACCAAGGCTATATCTTTTACTGGTTGTTTCCTCCAGTTATACTTTTTCTTTTCCATGGGTTCCACTGAGTGCTTTTTTCTCTCTGCAATGGCCTTTGATCGATATCTAGCCATCTGCCATCCTCTCCATTATGCCACAATTATGACTGGACAACATTGCTTCAACCTAGTGATTTCCTGTTGGGTATGTGGCTTTCTTTGGTATCTGGCACCTGTTATTCTCATTTCCCGACTACCTTTCTGTGGCCCTAATGTAATTGACCACTTTGTATGTGACTCAGGCCCCTTGCTGACCCTCTCATGTGCTCCTGCCCCCATCTCCAAGCTTACCAGCTACACCCTCAGCTCCCTAATTATCCTCCTTAGCTTCATATTCATTCTCATCTCTTATGCCCTGGTTCTACTTGCTGTGTTTCGGTTACCCTCAGCATCCAGTCGACAGAAAGCCTTTTCAACCTGTGGGTCCCACCTGGCTGTGGTACTGCTGTTCTATGGTACTATAATGGTGATGCATGTGAACCCTGGATCCAGTCACTCCACTTTGATGCCTAAGATGATGACCTTGTTCTATGCAATGGTGACACCACTCTTCAACCCTCTAATTTATAGTCTTAGGAATAAGGACATGAAAAATGCTCTGAGAAAAGTTCTGGAGAAGTTTAAAATGTCCTTATAAGTCTTTGGTAACAGGCCCAGGAGGAATGTGGAATAAACCAGCTTAGTGTGATATGGGAGTCCTGGTGTGGTGCTGTGAGCTAATGTGACAGACTGCAAAGTCGTTTGAACTGCAAGGTCAGTGGTTCAAGCTCACCAGCTGCTCCTTGGAAACCCTATACAGGGTCTCTATGGGTCAGAATCAACTTGATAGCACTTAACAACAACAACAAGTGTGATATGGGTACAATAACCATCTTTTATTTTCATTAATTTAGACAGTCATTCAATAAATATTCACTGAACATTTGAGGTTGTGGGTTGACTATAGGGAAAACTTTAGTCAACAGAATAGGAGATATGTACATTTTTTAGTAGGGAAGAAGACCCTGTATTCTCATTCCATTTCTAGCTATATTTTTTCTCAGTCTTATTGTGATGTTTTTGAAAACAGATGGAACTTTCAATCATAAGATCTGAATCTGAACTTAATTCTTTCATTTATCAGCTGTTTGGATTTGACATGTCACTTAACTTCAGCTGTAAAATGGGAATGGAAATATCTACACCAAAGAACAATTAGTATGAGGAGTTAATGAGATAATGGGGATAAAGTTCCTAAAACCCTCCCTAATGTGTAGAAAGCATTCAATAAATGTTAATTGATATGAATTTTGATGAATTCTGTGTTCTCGTGTTCCTTGTCAGAATCAAAAGCAATCTCAGATCTGTGAATGTCACCTTTTCATTACCTTTGACAAAGTCCTTTTCAACAGACTTCAATCTTCTGTTGAGATAGAGAGTAGCTATGGTTCCTCCATTTCAACTCAAAATATCACTCCAACTAAAAAAGAAAGAAAAGGGGGGTTGGTTCATATACTATAAACATAGTCTCCAAACTATGTTTTCCAAAAAATACACAAGCATGAATATTTTGGATTTCCATATTCACAATTTAAATATTTGCATTTTCCTAAATGAATACGCTAAGGACATCCTTAGGATTGAAGCTCCAAAAGTTCTTAATTCACACTTCCTCTTTCTTAATTGATCTGCTCCCACTTCCCTATTCTTACTCTCAATGTGATTCATGATCAGATATATAAACTTCTAGTTAGGGCACTAAATGAATAATTTAAGCACTACTCTCTCTTCTATGAAAACAAAATTACTTTGGTGTTGCTACTAGTAAGTTCCATTGAGTGGGTATTGACTCATAGCGACACTGTGTAGGGTTTCTGAGAAGCAGCTAGTGAATTTCAACTACCAACCTTGTGGTTAGCAATCCAGTGCTCATTTTACAGTCTCCAACCAGGATTTTGACTACCAGAGTATAAATCATTTTTCAATAGATGGATAGTAATAATTTGGGTTTAGCACAATCGTCTGCCCACAAACCTCTGTAGTTTACATCAGAGGTAGGTTTGGACATAGATTCTCTAAAACATTCACTTGAATTTAAATCCTGGATCCACTAACTGCAGGACTTCATATGTGTCTCCATTATCCCACATGTAAAGTAGCAATAATATTAGAACTTTTTTCCATAGTGTTGTTCTGAGGATTAAAGAGATCAATCTTCTTAAAAAAGAGTCCGTCAAAATGGGAACACTAAAATCCTTTCATTGTTGTATTTCATGCTTTTGTCCAAAGGAGCATTTATTCTGAGAACAGGCTCTAATCTATTTTGACTTCCACCCAAAATAAAATAACAATAACATTCCCAATTAGTACACTGTACCCAAAGACATGGGCTTTAGAATAAATAATTAACATAACAAAACATTTCAATTCAGATTAGTGAGAGAAATAAAGAGCATAGTTATTAATGTGTACCATCAAGTTCAATTCCAACTCACACCAACCTCACAGGATAAAGTAGAACTGCCCCCAAAGGGTTTCTGAGACTATAAATCTTTTGGGGAGCAGACCATTGATCTTTATGGTTAGCAGTCAAGTGCTTGACTTTGCACCACCAGGGCACTTCTACAGAACTTGTAGAATACCAACAATATAGTTAATCATTCCTGAGGCACAAAGAAGATTAAGTGCATTGGAAACAAGCAGTCTTTCTCAGCAATAGGATAAATGAAAACTAGTGTCACTTACGAGCAAATGCACATGCAAGCATTAAATTTTCTAATACAAAAAGCTAGTGTCTCTAGTAAAAGAACATCGGGCATGGTGAAAATTAATATTTGCATAGTCAAAATAAATAAAAAATCAGCCTAGAAAAAAACAAAAATTGTTATCAGAGCCACTTGTTTCATAAAAAAGAACTGGAATTTAATATCAGATTTCAAGTTTACTATATACATTAGACCTACGGTCATATTTGTATCTCAAATTTTGATGTAAAGGTTTTTCAACTAATTCTCTCACAGTACTTTTTGAATTCCTAATTAACTGCCCACCCCTTCAAGTTGTTGTTGCTATTGTTGAGTGTCATCGAGTCGGTTCCGACCCATAGCGACTCTGTACAGGGTTTCTGAGGCTGTAAATCTTTACAGGAGCCGAAAGCCTCATCTTTCTCCCGTGGAGCGACTAATAGTTTCGAACTGCTGACCTTGTGGTTCGCAGCCCGATTTGTAACCACTATGCTAAATTGTTATAAATCATTGGTTCTCAACCAAGGAGTATAGATCAAAATCAGTAGGGGACCGTATGGCTTTTTTTGTTATTTTTTAAAGTTTTTATTGTGAATTGAGTGATACTTTACGTGGAAGAACTTCGGTTTTACACTCATCATTTCATTGCAATGATTACAATCTCCTCCATGCCTCATAATTCAACAGTAACTGCTTCTATTACCTCTGTTTTTTTTGCGGGTGGGGTGGGGAATGTTCCACAACACACTCAGGAGTATATAACAATTTAAACAGCCAAAGTGCATATTCTGTAAGCCTGCCTCCTGGCCACCAGCACTCAGTCTTTCTGTCGCCGTAAATCTAGAATCTTCAGCTGCCCTCTCTCTCTCTCCATGTCTTCATTTCAGCCTCCATCTTTCATGAAGCTCTGACTTTTGAAACCATGTTACTATGTCAAACACTCACAAAAAAACACAAAGATGGGAAGAAAAAGAATAAAATGGACTATATTACTTACTTGAATCGTATTTCAAATTAGTAACACTACAGTGAAAGATAAGCAACATTAAACCAAGTAAATTTGGAACACTATAGTTAGATAGATGATAGATAGATAGATAGATAGATAGATAGATAGATAGATAGATAGATAGATAGACAGATAGATTGTTGTTGTTGTTGTTGTTAGGTGCCATCGAGTCGGCACATATATATATCATGAGAATCTGAAACGAATGTATGTTCTACTGTTACTGGCTGAAATATTCTATAAATATTGATTAAATCCCTGCTAATTGAAAAAATTTAGTACTATGTTGTTGTAGTTGTTAAGTGCCATTGAGTCGGTTCTGACCCACAGGAACCTTGTATAGGGCTTCCGAGGAGCGGCTGGTTAGCTTGAACTGCCGACCTTGAAGTTCAAAGAGCTTTGCGTTCTGGTATATTAACCCATAGAGCCACACCAGGACCCTGGTAGTGTAGTGGTTATGAATCGGGCTGCTAAGCTCAAGGTCAGCAGTTCGAAACTACCAGCTGTTCCGTGGGAGAAAGATAAGGCTTTCTGTTCCCGTAAAGATTTACAGCCTCGGAAGCCCTGTTCAGGGTCACTATGAGTCAGAACTGACTCCACGGTACTTAACAACAACAACAACAATTGAAAAATATATGTCTCTATCAATCTATCTTCCAAAAAAAAGAGGAAGATAGATAGATAGAGACATATATTTTTCAATTGTTGTTGTTGTTGTTAAGTGCTGTTGAGTCGATTCCAACCCATAGCGACCCTGTATAGAGTTTCCAAGGAGCAGCTGGTGAGCTTGAACCACCGACCTTGCAATTCAAACAGCTTTGCAGTCTGGCTCATTAAGCCACAGCACCACACCAGGACTAATTTTTCAATTATCAGGGATTTAATCAACATTTATAGAATATTTCAGCCAGTAACAGTATAACATAAATGATATATATGCCAATTTAGACCATATCCTGGACCATTGAAAAAAGCTTCAAAAATTTTAAAGAAGTAAAATCATACAAAGATTATTCTCTGACCACATGGAATGGAACACTATATTTTGACTATATACCTTAATGCTAAAGACTACAAATAAAAATTGAACACTGGTTAGTAGGGTTCTTTTTTATGAGGCATGGCTTAATAATTGAAAAAACAAAAACAAAAAACCTCCCCTGTGTTGGAGGATTGCACAAATAAATAAATATATGGTGGATAATGGAGCTAATTTTCTATCAAGGAACAAATTACTAAGATAAATAAGGGAATGACAATGAACCCTGTGGTGTTGCTGCTGCTCTGGATAGGGTTCCACATTCTGGTCATGCTTTTCTCCCTTGATGGTCCTAGGGTCCTGTGATCCTGGACTGTAAGATTAACTATCCTCTTTTTGTTATAAAACTTCTACCTTTACAGTTATGATAGTCACAATTTGTCACAGTAACAATTACTCACTAGTGAATCATAAGAATCTTATCCCCATCTCTTTTCACCAGACCCATCTAGACAAAATGAAAACTATTCAGTGAGGATTCTACCTTCTCCCACACACTCTTAAGTTAACTTCCTCTTGAAAACTTGTAAGCCAGTCACTTCGTGTCTTTATCATCCCCCTCCCCCCCATTTTAGATAGCCATGTCCAAGTTGCTCATTCCTATCAACTCTGTATACAGAGTGGAAGATTGATACTTGATGTGAAAACTCCTTCCCACTCAGTTGGTATTTTGAGCTACTAAATCCATAAGTATTGAGGGACCTCCTTTTCAAATTATATGACTATATGCATGCAAGAAAAATGTTGCTAAAGATAATTCAAAAATGATTGCAACAGCAC